GTTGAGTGAAAGGGTTTGTAAATGTCAATTAGGTCAAGTTAGTTGATGTTGCTGACCATGTCCATTATATCATTACAGATCTTCTGTCTGCTCACTCTATCCATTAGTGAAAGAGAAGTACAGGTATTGGTCTGTCTGATGGCAGCGGTGGATATATCTATTTATACTAGCAGTTTGGGCTGGCGTTAGCATGCCACATCTTTCCATTCTTCTTAACCAATGTATCTTTTATCGGCCTTGTTTTGTACTGTTTATTTTAATTCCATTTATCTTCTTTGCCAGCTTGGTAATAAACCTTTGCCTTAACTTAGTGATTGTTTCAGGAATTAGAATGTATATCTTCAGCTGATCACAGTCTACTGTTGATATTCTATTACTTTGTATATGATATAAAATGATAGCGTTATCTTCCCCTGGGATTGTGCTACTGTTTTTATATTCTTTACTTCTATATTTGTTATAAACCTCACATGATTTTGAAATACTTTTCACTTAAATAATGAAATTTAACAATAAGTAGTGAGAAAACATTACTTACCACATAGTTTTGCTTTCTAGTTCTTTTCATTCCTTTGTCCAAATATACATTTCTCTCTGGTATTCTCTTGCCTGAAGGTGTTGGCAATGAATTTCTTCCATTTTTATACATCCTTCACTATTTAAAATAATTTTGAAGATGTGAAATTTTAAAATAACTTTTTCCCCATTTGTACCTTAAAGTATTGCTCTACTGTCTTCCTGCTTGTTTATTTCCAGTGGGTTGAAAATCTAAGATTTTCTATTTTTATAGATTTTGAATAATTTTGTTATCTATATTTTTGTATTTTCTTTGTGTTTCTTCTGCTTGAAGTCCAATAACTTTTCATCTATTTTAAAAAATTTTAGCCATTATTCAAAAAAAATTTTTTTTTCTTTCCCTGCCCCAGAACATCAATCAAGAGTTTATCAGGTTACCTTTTGTAGCCCTGTTCGTTGTTTTTGCTTCTTTTTCTTGTTTTGTTTGGAGTCCTTGTTTTACTTCAGATTTCTCTTGCTGGGTCTTCCAGCTCACTAGTCTTTCCTTTTGTAATGTCTAATCTTTTGGTTCTTTGATTCCTCCTCCTCTTCCCTTGCGATGGCTCATGTTTTCTGTTTCTTTGAATGCCTGCTAAGTTTTAATTAGATGTCAGACTGTAGATTTTACTTTGTTGGGTGTTTGGATACTTTTTACGTTCTTTTAAATATATTTGCTTTTTTTTTCTTTTCTGGAATGCAGTTGCCTTACTTGGAGACAGTTCATTTTAAGATTTGTTAGAAGGGAACAAAGCAATGTTTTTTCTGATGCTAATTGTCCTCAGTACTGTGATAAGACCCATCTGAAAACTTAACACAATACTGGATGGATTGTGTGGTTTTACAGTTTGGTAGTGAGAACACCATTTTCAGCTTTGTGTGAATTCCGGGCACCATTCTCTCTCTGTCTTTTGGGAAGTTATTTCTCCACTGATCACTACTCCTTTGAACCCATGAAAGAAATCTGCAGATCTTCAGTTCTCTCTCTGTGCAGTTTCCCTCTGTTGTATAACTTCAGCCAGAAGTTTGATTGCCCTTCAATTCAGGGGCTGTACTGTGTGATCCAATCCTATTCTTGTAGGAAAGAATCTTTTCCCAGGCAGAAATCTGGAACAATGCATAGACAATGTGTTGAAAACCATTGTTTTCTTTTCTTTTCCTTTTTTAATTTTAGTTGGTTGTTTCAGGTGGTTGTTTCAAGTTGATCCTAAGATTCTGCCCCTGATATTTCATCTTGGCTGATAGTAAAGTTCAATCTTCTACTGTTTTTTAAAACATTTTTGTTTCAATTTTAGCAGAGCATTGTGAATTTTTGTAGTCTTTTCAAATAACACATATTTGACTTAATTAAGTCGTCTTATGGTGCATGTATTTGTAAATTTGTTATTTTCATGGTTAAGTTCTTTCTTTCTAATTTCCTAATTTCTTCCTTATTCCTCCCCCGGGCCCCGCCAATTCCCTCCTTCTCTCTCTTCCTTCCTACCTGATTGGTTGGTCCAGTCCCTTTATAAACACAGAACATAAACTAGAGAAACTCTTATAACAGTAACCTCTGGACAGATGTTTACTCAGCAGATGGTGATGTCCAAGAGTAACAGGTAGCTCTTGTCTGACACATAGCATAAGAAAATTCTTGTACAGCCCTGAGGTAATTTTTCACACAGCAATGAAATGCATTGTGATAATGTTAGTCAAACAATATCATCCATCCAGAAATTATAAAAAATTCACAGAGTAACAATTCTAAGTAATACAAAATAAAACAAGACAAGACAATCCTCTAAGGATGAGGAATTCTTTTGACAGAGGACTGTGGGCTAGTGAACTGTTTATGTTGGGATTGGGATATGGTCAGTCACAGGCAGACAGTGTCCAGAGCTAGACCCAGCATAGAATCAAGATTGATAGCTGCCGCATTTATACAGAAAAGATAATGATCCCACATTCGACTATGTCTTGTGCCAGAGGAAGCATGTAAAAGACTCATCACCCCAGGAATTTGGACAACAGAGAATTAGACCATCGGAAGCTGAGTGACCAAGACAGTCTTCATAATATGGGCAGGAGAATCTTGAAATTATAGAATCAGACAGGCCTTTTGTTAACCCAATACTTAATTTTCTTTAGGAATGTTTTTATAGAAAACTATCACTTTTCCCACTGTCATGAGAATTTTATGATTTTTTTCTCAGATAGTTTGGGTCCTGTCTTAGTTACTTTTCTCATTGCTGACACAAAATACTCAACACCCGGTGTTAAAGGAGGAAATGTTTCTTGACTCAAATGGTAGAGATTTCAGTCCATCGTTCTCTGTCTCCAAGGGAGAGTGGAATGGCAAGGGGGCATCACAGAAGAAAACAGTTCATGACAGGCAGAAGGCAGCAAGCAGTGAGTGGCTGTCTTTCTGTCCCTTATATCCTATCCAGGCTAGCATCCTATCCTAGCATTGCACCATAAATCAATCCCAGCATCATAGCCTTGATTCCAGCATTACACACCCTGGATCTAGCCACCTCCAAAAAGCCCCACTGATGATCACATGAGGATTTGGGGGACATGTAGATGCAAGCCATAACAAGTTCCTCCTCACAGGTCCTTCTAATGGATACCATTCTTAGGCCCTCTGATACAAGCACTGTTCTCTAACACAAATTTTGAATCACTCGTGTTTGTAGCCTCAGAGTTTAAGCTACTACATTACAGAAAGACTTCAAATATCATTTCTTTGTTGTACAGATTAAAGAATTTGGGCTCAATTTCTTGGTCAGAGAGAGCTATTAAAGATTTGTGAGCACATTACTCTGTGCTATGAAATTGAGCTGGCCAAGTCACATATCACATGACCTGCACCCAACAATAGAGCTGTGTTTGTTTCGTATCCACTCATGGCAGAAGTCCTAGATAAGCCATCTATGCTGTGGGTGGCACTGTGGTGTAAATGGCCATCTCTCAAAAGCTCTGAGCCTGATGGAGGAGCATCACAAACCAAAACATCCAGGAATGAGTGTTTGTGTGGATCTTCCATGAGTGCCCTGCTAATATGTGAGTCATGGAGGCTGGTCTATCATAGAAGGTCCATGGTGGATGAGGCTCTCAGAATACTATTTCCAGAGTCAAATCTACCTGGATGAATTGCAGCAATTGGGAAAGGCTACTTTGTTCCATGTTTACAAATCTCTCTGCACTTAAATAAGCAGGATTTGAATCATGACAAAGCTGGAAATAAAAGTAGTAGTAGAAGTAGAAGAGAAAATGTTGGGCTGTTGCTTTCTTTATGGTATTCTAGTAATTTAATTATACTTTCAGATCAGTTAAATGCAGCAAAACAATTCTAAGAGAATCACCATTCTGATGTCTAGGATGCATGCTGTGAACCCAAGGACTTATTACATACCAGAGAGTGATAGCTAAGACTCACTGAGTGTTTACTGTGTGTTGGAACTTTACTATGTGTTTTGTATGCATTGCTTTACAAAAGGCTTGTCAGAGTCCTGTGACACAGTCCAGTCATCACACTTATTTTGGAGAGCAGGAAATAAATGCTTAATTTAACTGTAGCATCAGGTACCATGGATGAGTAGAGCAGAGATTTGAATGAGGAAAGTTATGCTCCATCTCCACAGGCTGTACTCTATAGCCACCACCTATGAGCTGTAGATATAGACATTGTCAGAAAGACTACCCATGTTTCCAGCCATATTGGAAGGCAAAACATTTCACGTCTATAACAGTATTGCTGAAAGAAAAACATATAAACTGAAAGACAGATTTCATTATATCATATAGTCATAGTCATTGTGAAAAGTTGTATCTATTCTCCCAACAAATAGATACAAACCTGACCAATATGAGCACACACACATGCGTAAATTAAGTTTATTTTAACTAATAAACTTGCCACAATGCCACAACAATTGAAAAGATGCAATTTAAAAATAGTATTAAAACAATTTCTTTATATAGAAATAATTTCTTTATGTATAAACATGTATGTGCATGTATAGACACGCATCATAGATCCCTCTTAACTTCAAGGGTTATGTTTCAAGAGCCCTGGTGGACACCTGAAACCAAAGATAGTGTGAAAGCAGCACACACCATGGTTTTCAATATGCTTAGGGTGAAGTTTATTTTATAACCTAGGTGTAGTAGGAGATTAATAACTGCATATAGTAATAAAATGTGACAAATTTTTATAACAATATACTATAATAAAAAGTATGTGATATACTGTATTCACCCTTCCTTTTATTTGCTGTAACTAAACCATGGGAAACAAAGCCATGGATAAAGAAGACTAGTGCACATACACAGAGTGTGTGAACACTGACATATGATATATATGTGTAAATACACATGAGTATATATGAGTGTAATATATAGTTCATATGTGTGTATGTAAATATATACACTCATGTGTATGTGTGTAGATATTTAGATCTGAAAAATGAAAGCAGTTGACCTGTGGATGTCCTTGATGAGAGGTTTTTGTTTGGTTTTTCTCCAGTACTGGGAACTGAACTCACAACCTTGCGCTTGCCAGGCAGGCGCTTTTTGCCGCTGAGCTAAATCCCCAGCCCGAGAGGTTTTTGTTTGAAGAGGCCCCCTCCATGAACCTTCCTTTCCCATCTCTGAAAACAAAGTGAGTTCCCTTTCTGAGCACATTGCTTATATTTCTAAAATAAACCCACCTTCCAGCTGTCTTGGGTGACAGTCCCCTGTGCACACAATCTGTCTTTTTCTGGAGTTAAGTGACATCACAGACCTTTTACCTGGAGTTCCTAAGGTCATTCACACAGAGTGAGTGCTCAGGAGACTGTGGACAGCAGTCTGGAAGTTTCTGTCCCAGTGAGCCATCTTCTGGCAAATAAGAACCCCCCGTGTAAGTGCTGATTTCCCCTTTTATGGGCCTTCTCTGACACATCTCAGTCTATCCAGAACACAGGGTGGTGTGTGGTTGGGTGCATTCACCGACACTATGTACTGCAAACGTCTGCTTCTTTTCACAGGTTGAATCGTCGCACACTTCTCCAGAGCGAGGGGCTGCTGGGGTGGCAGGCGCATCTCTGTTGGCAGAGCAAAGGTGCGCCAGTCTGCTGCCCACATACCCCGTGAATGCTGGCAGCCAGAGCTTAGTCTTGATTAAGCAGATTAGGCCAAAGAAAGCACAAATGCAAAGCCAGGCAAAGCACCAGAGATGGCTGCTCACCGGCATCCAAACCTCAGCTTTTGCCCATCAGTTGTCCCCAGAGTACCCGGAAAGAGGAGACGGAGAGTGCACATACCTTGGCCAGCTCTAAAGCCATCCACTTAAATCTTAGCTAGACAGGGCCAGATCGGAGGTTCCCTGGTACCAGGCAGGAGGGCCTCTGTGTGTGTGTGTGTGTGTGTGTGTGTGTGTGTGTGTGTGTGTAGGCATGTGGGTACACTGCAAACTCATCGTGTCAAAGGCAGCACTTGCTCTGCTGGCCTCGTTAGAATAACCATATCACACAATGCTTTCTTTCTAAATAAACAGACAAAGTAAGCTGGCCAGTAAGTCACTTAAAAGATAGAGCAGGCTAAGTCCAGTCGTCGGCCGCTGAGTGCAGACAAACAGCCTCTATGTGAGCTGAATGGAAAGAAGATATCATCTATCCTGCACACAGCCCCGTAATTGCATATCAGTCCTGACTCCTGCAAAATAATGACCTCTCCTCCCATGGTTTGTGGAACACATGGGGAGGAAATAGTAGATCTGAGCTAACTGGCTCAGAAATTCTAACCAGATGATAGAAAAATGTTTTGTCAAAATAAGAGTTCTTTGAATTCTTAAGAGCCCTGTATAACCTAATAAACAACCTTTTAAAGGCAGAATGCAAAATGAATCCAGCAAAAAAAAAAATGAGTCCAGCAAGAAGGCCCACAATTATTGCAATATCATTTTGCCAATTCTTTTATTTTGACGTGGACAGAGAAGAATCCAAAATAAAACCCTCTCCCTCATTCCTCCCTTGCTTCTGTTGTTTGGCAAGAGAATAAAAGATACACACACACACACACACACACACACACACACTTGACACTGCAGCAGTGCATGGCAGGAGGACGGAAAAAAATGCTTTGTAGAGCTGCACTGTGTTTTCAACTTTAAAAGTAATAAAAAAAAAAAATAAAAGAGAGAGAGAAAGAAGCAAAGTGGTTTTAAAAAGTCTGCTCATCACTGTGGGCTTGTGGAGGTGTGTTGGCCTATAGACTAGCGCTCTGAATGACTGACCTCTTGGGTGTGTTTTAATGTTACTTGTTTCCAGCTTTTGTCCAGGACAGACAGTCACTGCAAACTGAGAAGCCTCTAGCAGCCTGGAGACCCTAAGAGAAGATGCTCTGGGCCGAGAGTAGGCAGGGAGAGGTGGAGGGCTCTGGCTGTGTCCTCAGTGCTCTCCTCTGAGTCAGGATCCCCCAGTGATGTGTGACACAGTCCTGAGGAAGACTGTGGTCTACGGGAGAGAAGATGCCACTCAGCTGAGCACACCCTTGCCTCTGAACTCTGAGCATTGTGCCAGCCTGATGCCGGATCTACTGGGGACAAAGCTCAGTACTTCACAATAATCTCTTCATTTCAAAAATGTCTTTCCCCATGCTGCAATAGTGGAAAGCAGGAAAGGGATTTTAAAACAGGACTCATGCAGATTAAAGTGACAGTGAATGATTGCATAGGAGGGTAGTGCACCAAATAATGCTTCTGTGTCAAGGAAAGGAACAGCTCACTTTTTGCACCTTACATTTTGAGCACTGTGCATTCTGTCCACAATGTCACTGGATAACCAGTTTGGGTTTGGAATATATTAGATCATTAACCCAAAAGGGTAAGTAGTGTATTACTCTAAGAACTCTGATAGCTAAAGAAGATTCATGTAAGCCCCCAGACTGTGCCATCTTGGAAGGTGAGCCCTCAGAGGGCTCTCTATTCCTGTCTCAACCAGGGCTGAGGGCTGAAAGCATTCCTGAGGCATCTTTGGAAGACACTGAATCATGTGGAGATGGAGTGCAGATGTCCAGTGCAGGCAGATTTGTGCTCTGTGGAAAAAACTCAAGTGAATAATAATCCCCATTCATAGTTGTCCTCAGTGTCTTCAGAGATTCAAGATCCGCATGCCAAAGCCCTTCACATAAAATGAAACAGTATTTGCATATAACCTATGTACATGCTCCCATATGCCTAGATAACTTGTCATACCTAGTGCAATGCGAATGCTATGTAACTAGCTGTTACATTGTATTGTTAGAGAATAATGACATGTTTGGGACAGATGCAATTTCTTTCAACTGTTTTTGATCCTGGGTTAGGTGAATCCACAGATACAGAGAGCTGGCTAATCCATTCTTGGGTTTGTCAGGTATTTTACACCATTCAATTCTCTGTGAAGTAGATATAGAAAAGGTAGAATGAGACCGCTATCAGCACAGGACAGAGCCTTCAGGGTACTCCTGTAGGTCATGTGGAAATGGATTTGAAGAAGACCAGGGTCAAGATCAGGCTAAAATGAGCCCTGAATCTTGTAAGCAAAGGGTAGGATAGCACGAGTTAGGGCTCCAAGCCTCGAGAGATTCAGGTGGCTTTCTGGGTGGGAAACTCATTTACTGTGACCTGAAGCAGAAAGTGAAGAGGGAGCTGCCATCAAGGCCACAGAAAGCCTAGAAGGAAGTTGATGCTGGGGCCTATAGAGTAAACACTTCCATGAAATTCCAGTATTTGATGGCGTTCATGCACATGTGATGCAGGAGCTGCGTTCGGCCGCCATCTTTCTCTGGAGGGCTGGAGAGACCTAGTGTGGGGGTCGTTCCGGTTGAACTCTGGTGAGCAGGAAAACAGGAAGGATTGGAACCAGGATGAAGGAGGGATGTTTCCAGGGATAATTTTCAAGAAAATCTTTAAATAAGTGGATCAATATCCTATGTGGAGACCAAAGATTGAAACAAATATCATGGAGAAATAAAATTTAAACTATGAATCATAGAGGAGAAAATTTGATTTGGAATTATGAACCCTGTTCCTGATTCAGATGACCATTTGTGATGCCTGGCACTATCGTGCGAGTTCAAGTTTCCCACAGACTCACGACGTACCAGGTACCATGATGGTGTGCTCTGTGGTGCCCAAGGACACCACATATGGAAACCATTCTAGTTTTCATGCACAGAACATAAACTGTATTCTCTCCTTCTGGAAATATTGATTTAAAACAAGACTATTTAATGCTCTTCTATAAAGAATAAATATAGAATTGAAACTTGAATTTTTCTCAGTAATCCAAAGAGATGGTAGGCTGTCAGCACCCTACAAATGACCCATCTCCACCTAGGACCTATAAAATTACTCTCCTTCTCTGACTGACTTTCATGTGTTCTGCATTCATGAGAGTAGGTCTTTGTCCAGACTCTTTCATGCCAGGAATCACATCTCAACTGTGTTCACTTTTCACTTTTCCTTCACACAAGTCTTGAAGCATCACAATGTCTCTAAACAAGAAAAGGTTTTTTTTTTCTATCATTTTTCTTATATATAACTTCTACATATAAAATCATCATTTACATAAGCTGTGTATATATTTTACTTAATTATTCATTCATGGCATTGGCTGCTGTTTGAGTGAATAGTTTAGATGTTTTCTGGTGGAATTATTCTCTTCTATTTCAGTCAACAATGCCCACTTTCAGTTTTAATCTATTTAAAGACAGAAAGCACATTTTTTGGCTAGTAATCTTCAAAACTGATTATATAGGAATATTCCCTGAGCCAGGGATATAGCTCAGTGGTACAGTACCTGCCTAGCAAGTGCAAGGTCCTGAGTTTGATTCTTGGTACCAAAAAAAAAAAGTATGCCTTGAGATGCAGAGACAAAATTAGAGATTATATAATTGTATTACATATATACAAAAATATACATATTTATTTGCACACATATGAACACAATGGATACATATATGTTTAATATTTTAATGTAATCTTTTGTTTTTATATTGTATACATTTTAAAATATATGCAAGATTTTTGAACAGTGATGACTAAAAGTAATTGATGTTTGAAAAGTTTTTGGTAGGGGTGTATGCTACCATCATTTGTAGGGTGTGGTTATTCACCATTTGATAATGAAGCAACAATGTTGACAATGACACTCACTCATCGTCAGTTTTTGGTGTTTTCGAAATTGTCATCAAATTATAATCTACTTTTCAAGACTGTTTTTTAAAAAATAAAAGGCAATTTATAATAATTCCTTTTAGCAATCTCTGCTGGAAATCATTTCAGAGAAGATAAAGACTGAAAGAGACTGTATGATAAAAACTAGGGGTCAGTGAAATTTATAAGACAAATAGGTAAAGCACACTCCCATTTCCAGCAATCTGTTCCTTCAACACATAGTGAGATTTTTAGGGGTCTGGCGAAGCAGCCTTCCCAATATTCCCACTGCACATTTCCATGGATGTTCTGTTCAGTGAAAGCACAGTTGAATTTAGACAGGTTCATGGTTGGTGTTGAGCCTGATCCCAGGGTGGAAGCTGTTGTAGGAACAGACTGATATTCAACCTACCACGATGCCTTGCCAGAAATCCATTGTCTTGGGAGCAGGGAAATAGAAAGTGGGGTCAATGGTGGTGGTAGCCATGTTGGGTTATGTGGCCTGAGGAGGAGCGTTCTTCTTGCTTCTGAGCCCTCCACCAGAGAAATGTCCCCCAGATCGGCAGTGATCACACCAGTGAGACTGACATTTCCTGTAGTGGCTGGTGTTTTAGACCACTGAATATTTCTGCTTGACAGAGCCCCTGGCTCCTTCCTCTCTACCTCCACTGTCTCCTGTGTGGAACTTGTCTTAGGCCAGACTTCCTGACTTCTCAGTAGAAAACCTTTGGTTCCTGAACAGGAGTTCTTGAGTCTATAGTTAAATGCCCCGGCAATCTCCCTGTAAAGTTCTGGTAAATAAAAGGATGGTAAATAAAGGGGTGGTAAAGTTCTGGTAAATAAAAGGTGTCTCACTGACACCTTTTGGTAATTTGGGTGGAGATCTGGAGTCACCATGTAAGTACAGAAGAAAGACTGAAAAGAAATACTGTCAAAATGTGAATGACATGGTACAAATATAGATGTTCATTTCTTTCCTTTGTACTCTAACCTACAAATTCTCTATAATGGGCATAAATTTATTTTAAATCAAAAAATTATAATGTTTAAATATGTACCAAAAATCTTAGAATAGTGAAGTACTTTTAAGTAAGTATGTGTTCATGTACAGAAACCCTAAACAAATCTAGGTGCCAGAAACCTCAAAAAGTAATCTTATTCAATTCCAAAATGTGAACTGTTGCTCTTTCCTTGTCCGATGTTCACAGAATAGGATGACAGGATAAAACTGTTGGTGATGGGAGAAGATAGTTTTTTTTTTTTTTTCCTATCAGGTGATTTCTCTTTCTTTAACCAAGATTTCATTTCCAGAATATCTACTTCGCTGTTTCTCCCACCTTAGACTTTTCCATGGTTGCAATCTCCTGTAATTGTAGAAACATTTTTTTCCTGGAGCAACAGCTCTTAGATTAGTCAGTTTGGGGCCAACCTGAGTATAGAGAGCCCTTCCTGGTCCTTGTCCAGGTCTGGGAAGTTTACATTTGTAATCCCATGGAAAAGTTATTGGAATTCTAGCAAGTTAATTCTAATCTACCACTTCAAGTGCAACTCATGGCGAGAATAAAGATACTAAGGTATATTTGTAGTTGTGGGGACCCAAAGAGTACTAAGTTCAGCCATGATGATGGCTATTTGGAACAAAGGCCTCCACCCAGGGCCAAGCCCAGGTTTTATTAATTTGTGACGGAAGGAGTTGCTTGAGGATGAGTGACTATGACAGTGTCTAGAAGTACATGAGTGCTATGACTTGAACTAGGTAGGAGGCCTGAAACTGCCTCTGCAATATGCAGAGAGAAAGATATGCAGAAAGAGTAATCTGCATGTCACAATTTGAGGTAGTTTTGAGGTCAGTGCTTCAGCTCTTATGTGTAATCTTTTATACCCTGGGAAGTCATAGCCTTTTATCTTAAGGCTCAATCCCAGCATGAAGCAGAGCTCACCATACTGCCCTGGTTCACACATGTTTATTTGGGAGCTGGGGGTGTGTGGGGAAGGAAACACTGCACTGTTACCTTGCTTCAAAGACTACCATCAGCACCTCACCTGGACCGATTTGCTTGGCTTAAAGCCAGCTGAAGGGATAAGGAAAAGTCCTAGTGATCTCAACACATGGAATATCAATATCATGGAAATAGGGCCAGGTTTAGCCAAAATGGAGATAATTACTCTTCTTTCAAGGAGTTTCATCCAGGTGGTTCTCCATACCTGAGTATTCCCAAATAGTGCTAATAATCTTCTCTGTAGGAACACAAGTTTGCAGCACATTCGGCTCTGTTTTGAGCTTTAAAGCAGCTGGAAAATGCAACTTTTTTGCTCTGACCGCATTTGAATTCACTACCCAACAGTGCTTAATACCTGTTTGATTTTTTTTTATGAGATTCACAATCTTTTCCACATTTACCAATCAGCTGGGCAGAAATAGAATCTCATTTTTCTTCTTATCTGAGTTTTCCTAGCTACTGAGGAGGTTGCGGATCTGCAAGTTCTAACTGACCATTGTGTCTTCCTCTTTTGTTAGCTAGCTAGTCATATCCCTTGATACTTCTTTCTGTGGTGTGTTTTGCCTTTCCCTAAATAGTTACATGTTTTGTAAATATTTTCTACCATAAAGTTTTGTGTATTTTTTCTTATCTATATTTCATTCATTTTGCAGAAATTTTTTCTTATAAAGTCAACCAATTTGATTTTCTTTTCTGTTGTAGGTTCTGCATTTTGTATCTTTCTCAGAAAGACTGTCCTCATATTGGGCTTATAAAGAGAGTTTCCTTTATTTTCTTCTAATTCACTTAAAGTTCTTATCTTTACATTTAGCCCTTTCATCCACCTGAAAAATATTTTTTTTGTGGTATAAAGTATGAAAGTACCCATTTTCTTCAAATGACTAGCCAATATTATTTTCTAGGAAAAACTCATAATTTTCCATTAATTTAAAAATTTGCTTTATCCTGTATTAAATTCTAGCTCCTTAATTTAACAACAAACATTTATGGAGCTTTGCCCCAAGATTGAGATTTGATAAAATAATAAATGGGCTTCCTGGGTTCCACCACTTTGAGGCTTGATTAATATTTTTGAAGGTAGACTTTCTTTTTAAAAATACAATGGATCATTAGCTTTCTAAGAATTTTTAGTATCTATCAATTGTTGTTCCAACTATATGCATAATTTAAGATCTTAACAGATATCATAAAATAAGAACAAGAAAGGACAATCTGTATGAAGCTCCCCGGCCTTACTATGTCTTTCATTATAATCCAATTCTAGGTTTTTTCCACACTTGTGGAAAAACACTCAACCATCTGTTAGGTGTCAGGAAAAGTGAAAGTCAGGAGCCACCTTTGGTACCACAAACCAATACACTCATAGTAGTTTCCAGTCTCACTGCCGCCAACACATGCAGCGAGATTAGGGACAGAGGGAGCATTGCCATGTGGCTACACATGACCAGAAACACAGTACTTTCCTGCTTTCCTTGATTCCCTGTGGCTTCCAAGTGAAAAGGATTTTTTTTAATACATAGGAAGATATCAAATGGATTTAGGTAGATATTTCTTAAAATTTTAACTTGCACTTGAAATTCATCAGTACACAACCTCTTTATCTTGCAAATACAAGGGTAACTGGCAGATTTTGAGTTTCAGCAAAGTTTTTTTTCTTTAGGGTATTCATTATAAATTATTGAAATATCTAAGGGTCCAAAATAGAGGCTCTAAGCTGAGTTGTTCATACAAAAAATAATCTTATGGTTTCCTCATTGGATATGGTGTGACTCATCCCCCAAGGCTCATGGGGTGGAGGTATGGTTGGCTGTTCTCATGGGACGGTAATTAAGTCCTTGTGAGAGAGTTGTTGCAAACATTCCAGCCCAACCCTCCCCTATCCTCCCTTCCTGTCTCACCATGACCTCTCCTTCCCATGTATTCTTTCCCATGTATTCGTGCACTATGAGCTCTTCTCCAAGGGATGATCGTGTGGAACCCTTTGATCCTGGATTTTCAGCCTCCAAGACTATGAGCTGCATGAATCTCTTTTCATTGTAAGTTATCCAGCCAAAGATATTTCATTACAGTAATGTGAAATGAACTGATACCTATGGGAAAGCAAATTTTAATCTCAGGTACAGACTTTTCCTCTCTCTAATAGCCCTCATTAAATTTGCTTCCTATGTAAGGCAATATAACAGAGTACAGCCTAATGACTAGAAAGGGGACATACTATTAGGAGTGATATCGAAATGATGTCTGTGATCTCAAGGCTCTATCTTTTGCTTTTGTAAGGACAGATTGATTCTGGCTATGCTGAAGAGTACTTACAGCCCCACCCCACATCACTGGTGGAATCCAACTCAACAGCGAGTGGCTGAGGAAACCAGCCATGGCAGCCAGACACAAAGAAACAGACTTCCCCTTTTTCTGGGGCTGAAACTTGGAAGAAAGATCTGAGGATGAGATGCACTGCCAACTCCAGTACTGGGAGTGGAAGGGCAGGAGTGGAGGACAACTCCTGGAGGTACACGCCACACCTCTCTCACTCTTCCTCCACCATGTGAAAATCCTTCTCCAACCACACCCATCTGTTCTTCCCCATTAACAGAAAATATTTCCAATTCATTTGAGGGATTTAAACTGTAGTAGTTTTCAGTGTCTACAAAGCCATTTAATGCCCTCCACGGTGCTTCAGAGTTAAGTGTAATCCTCTAATTTATGCTTAAATTCTCCAGAAAAGATGAGTTTGGCTGGTCTTTTAAAATGTGAAAAGGCTTCAGAGTTTTCTGGAAAATCCTTGGGCACAAATGCTTTTTATCTTTTTATGTTTCCTTGTCCCTGGCCCTTTCTAAATATTGATTTGATTTTATAAACTAAGGAACTTTTACTTCACCTATTTGCTGTATCCTCAAGACACCCTAAGTATGATTAGGTGTGGTGGTACATGTCTGGAATCCCAGCATCCTGGGAGGCTGAGGCAGGAGGATCATAAGTTCGAGCCCAACCTGGCAATTTAGTGGCTTATCAAGACCCTATCTCAAAATAAAGAAAGGTGGCTAAAGATGTAGAAAGGCCAGAAAAGGCATGTCTCTAAAGCTTTAAAGTCCAAATTGTTTTCTTGAAGGGCTTCTTTTGGTGGAAGGAATTATTAATTTTTTAAAAAAATATTTAATTTCTTTTAAGTCCTATTTCTGTAGCTACTGCTAGATCATCCATTCCCCAGCACAAACACAGGCACCTGGTGCACAGGAGAGCTCCCTGCTCCACTGAAGGCCCGTGTTAGTGCCTGCGAGTCCACTGCTTCCCCCTGAGCTTCTCCACTCCTGATAACAGCCACAGAAAATGAACTCTGACGGCATGTTGTGAATTTACAGTACCCAGAAACAAACCCAGCTAATTGTGAGCATATGATTTTTCAGGTGCCAAATTTTATATTAGTCCCTGGCCCTGGCAAACTCTACTTACTCAGCAGTTGCTAATCATTGAGGCATTAATTGCCTTTCTCCCAGGATTTGAGTAAGATGAAATCTGCTCTCTAAAAAGCAACTTCTGCAGAGCTGGGAAGTCATCATTTCTTTGTGAACCACCCCTGCAGAGGTGTATTTTGCTGAGCTGTTCTGAGAGGACAAAGAGAAAGGGGAAGGGGAAGGGGAAAGACAAAGAAAAGGGGAAGGGGAAAGAGGAGGAGAAGGAGAAGAAGGAGAAGGAGAAGGAGAAGGAGAAGGAGAAGGAGAAGGAGAAGAAAGAAAAGAAGAAACCTGTTGGGATAACACACAAAGGCCCCTGTACGGGCATTTTGGAGAAAGGCAACTCCAGTGGTGTTTGGTTTCAGGCTGGAACACAGAGATCATAATTTCAGGCCCTGGATGGCTCTCCCAGATGTCTTTGGTCAAGTTAATCACAGTTTGCCTGAAGGTTGAGTTTCCAGGTAATCCATCATGGCATGACTGTAAATCAAGACTCCTTCTGCTGGGAGTTGGAGCTTTAAGCTTAGGCAGAGATGAGGACAGTTCACCCAAGGCCCCAGACTCTATCATTTTAGTTTTACAACTGAAGCCAATTAAATGACTCTTTTACAGATGCTGAGGAAAGCTCAAGAAGTTGCATATCAAGCAGATACATGAATTTATAGTCAGCAAGTACATGTGTAATGTTCTAAGGACTCAGAGAAACTCAGCCTTTTTGTGGGCCTTCCCCATGCTGACGATTTTGCTCCTAGAATCTACAACACATCAAGTGTCCACCAGGACCTGAGCAAAAGGTGTGGACATCAGGCTAAGGCTTTTCTTGCTGGGGAAGGGGGAAGCACACCCTCCTGTTTCTCTTATTGTCCTAAGTCTAACAAACCTGTAATCTATGTTGCTTTCCTCCAGTCTGAAGTTCATCTTTTCCTTGTCAGTAAACCTTGTGCTGAAGAAAGAGCTTCCCATTGACTTTGTACGGCTCTAGTACCTGATGACAAAAATGTTATGAGATTGTGTACAGTACATTAAAAAATTTTATATACATAACTGTCTAGTCATTATATGTATAAAATATACATTATGTATATTATTTCATTTCACTTACTTCCCCATGAATCCTGTGACTCCAGGGATATTATTGTCCCTTTTTTGCACATGGTGAAATACAAAGATGAAATAAAGTACTGTTCAGAGCCTTCTCGATATTGTTCATGTCTGGGCAGCATGGAGCTCCTGTCTAACCCTCTACTTCCATTTTCCCATAGCCCTTCTGACCCCGTGCCATGGCATATCCTCTGGAAGTACTGCCCAGGGCTCTCGGGGGCCTCCTGCACTGTCACACACCTCTGCGAGCTGTGTCTCCCACACACACTAGGGAGGAGGTGTGGCTTAGTTACTGTCCCAACCTCAGTTTCCCAAAGCCATCTTCTGCAGCCAGAGAAAAAGGGAACAGTCTGGGAGGAAAATAAGAACCTGGCTTTCCTTTCCAGCCATGCTACCCCAGGGAAATTCTAGGTGCATGTGAAAGAGACTCAGAGTCTGTGTTCTCTGAGATCACAAAACCATCATGTCACTGTCTGTTCAGAAGAAAATAGAATTAGTGTTCACAGCACAAGAACCCCATCAGAATTAAAGCAGTCATCTCTGTTTCCCAGATCATGAAAAGTAAATTCATTTTTGCTGCATTTTATCCAAGAATATTTGCAACTACTGAATTCCAGCTAAACTTCAAACTCTCATTCCCACTTTGTTACTTTTTTTCTTTTTGCCTTTTATCCTCCTCTCAGTGTACCTCCTTTTTTTCACTGGAGTTTCTCTACCCACTCTCCCACAGTAAGAAGCATTTTTGCTCATCTTCCCTACCTTTGTTTCCCTACAATGATCACTCTATCTTTTGCACAAGGAGCAGTGTTCATTACCTTGGGGTGAGAGGAGGACACAGTCCTGCTGCTCTGGTCTCACCAGGCGGCCTTCACTGGTCTCTATGAGACAGCCACACAGGGCCGCTGCAACAGTCAATCAGACCAGATATACAAGATCAAACTGAGTGTCTGTTACTTGGAAAAGATGACTGTCATAGTCGTGGTTTGCAAGGGGCACAATACAATAGAGGACACACAATTTATAGGATTATTTTATAATAGTCACCCAAAGAGTCATACACAAAGAGAGTGCAGGAAATCTGTCCATACACTAAAGACCAAAAGAATCCAGCTGAGGCCCTGAATCCCACTGCAAAGTCCTACAAGAGTCCAGCTGAAGACCTAGAGCCCATAACAATGCCCCCCTCCATGAGTCCAACTGGAGGCCACGAGCCCATGAAAATGTCTCATGCAGGCCTGCTTCAAGGATGTGTGCTAAGAGGGCCCCAAGGTCAGTGGTGGAAACTTGAAAGTCTGTGCCAGCGAGATGAAGGATCTGTGCTAGCAGGCTGAGGGATTGCACTGGAGCCAGGAAGCAAGGCTCAAAGTAAGAACCAGAGCTCCCCCAAAGGTACCACAGCCATTTACACTGACAATGAGGTCCTGAGTTTCTCCGATGATAACAGCCGAGTTCATCAGGAAAGCCAGCATGACAAGCTCCCTAGGAGGAGGAGCTCCCAACAGTTCTAAACTTCTTTCTTTCCAGTTCTGCCTCTTGTGCTGCCGGAGACAATCCTCAGGTGGGTCTCCCACACCCAGCATCACTGTGGTTCAGTTCAACAGGGTGTTACAAGTTGGCCACCAGTTGTCAATCCACCACAATGACATAACATTGCTAGTGTAATCAGAGATTTATCTTTTGTAAATGAACATTCTGCTTAATGATGCTGTGGTACATTT